AGAGAATCTAGCAAGAAACATTTGAAATCAAAACAAATGAGTTCATGTTCAAACTTCTCCAAATCTGAGCTGCAGGGTGTTTCCCTTTCCCTGCCCCCATTCAAAAGCACTGTGTACTCTGTGAGCACTTCTGCAAAGCAACACCACAACAGAGAAGGGATTGGAAAGGACTTTGCAGAGCTTCCAAATGGCCAATATTTCATCTAGCAAAGCACAAGCCAATAATTTGCTACTCTGTGTTTCCTAATGATAACAACCTTTGCCTCTTGGGATTTATTTTCTATCCTACCAACCTGATCTTCTTCCATTTCTTGTTTGGGGGCTTAGGCTGTTCCATGCTCACATGCATTTGTTTCTCTCACTTGGCTGTAGGAACCAAGCGTTTTGTTCAACATGTTTTGCTTCATCTCTGCTTTACGCTTCCTGTTTGAGAGCCTAGTGTTTTGTTTTGTTTTCTCATCAATAGACTTGTAGCCCCTTCAATTGTGTCTTATCAGCAAGTCAAAGAGAATGTGCAGAAAGGGCAGAGGAGCTGAGAGGCGTCTTGCACACACCTAATGCGGATACAAGGTGGCGAGGATGAGCGCTATAATCTCAGTAACCTCCGTAAATCCTGAAAACGGACTTCTGTAAATCCCCAGACAAACCTCTTTTGTGAACTGAAAGCAGCCAGGCACTTTGCTCACACACCGACCCACCCGCACATGAACATACACACATGCTATGAGAGCGCCGTCTCTGGGGATTGCTGTTGGAAGCAAAGCTGTTGCACCTGTTTTAGTGAGATCTGTATTACAGAGGAGGTGTCTTAAAGTGGATCCAGTGGAGTTTAGGGGATTGCACAGTCTACTGGTTTTATATTAGATATTGCTTTCATCTAGAGTTGTTTTCTATCCCTCTTCAGATACACCTGTGCAGCTGCACGTAAAAACAGGCGCGCACACACACATATGCTTTATAGTCACTGTGTTATAAAAAGACCTCCCAGCAATATCTGGGGTGCTATTGTTTTCCTTCAAAATGAGAACAAGTGGCTGTACCACTGGGAAACATAGCAACCCCTTGACCTTGTTTGGGGAATTACTTTGGAGTCTATGTTTTCTGGGGTCCAAATTGTCATTTAAGTCAGTAGTACAACTGACTTCAGGAGGACTAGGCAGGCCCGGACCAGTAGAGGTCAGATAAAGTCGTCTGCCTGATGTAGGTCAAATCTACTTTTTCCATGTTACATTTGATATTATTTCCTTTCTTTATCCCCCCACCTTCCATCTCAACCCCTTGCTTCATCCAAGGCTTGACAAGAATCAAGACTAAAGAGAATCATATTCCACATGAACAGCTATCAGAGATATAACACATGGCTAGGCCTTAATCTTAAAGTTAGGGTCACATTAAAGAAAAACATGCATGCATTTTTGCAGGCCCGCAAGTTGTATGTGCCCTCAGGGAACGGCAGGCCATACCATTTCATTATGGCTTGTGCATACTTATGTGGGTGCTAGAGTGCAGGCACGTTGCACAAGCAGACACCCACTTTTACACGCACATTTCAAAACATGGGCTACACTGACTAGTGGAGGCCTCCAACGGCAAGCAGTTAAGTTAGGCACTGACCAGCCTCTTCTGAATGAGAAACATTCTGATCTTCTGGCTGGGAGCACACCTTGCTGTGTCAATTTCGTCTATTCGTTTGCTGATATCAACAATCTCCACTGTAAAGGAGCCAGTTTAAAACAGTCATCTTCACCAGGCACATTGGCTTTCTGTGCGGGTGGCACTTTCTCAGTCTGAATCGCTGTAATACTAGCCAAGTAGGGAGGATTGAAATGATCACACAAAAGCACCAGGCTGGGATTGTCAAGCTACTGCCTGGAAAAACACAAACATGCTGTTTGATCGCTGCTTCTGACATATAAACTAGGTAACTAACCTGACCTGTGACTGCTTCTCCAAGAAACTGGCTGGGACATGACAAATATGCCTTTCAACATACCACAGATGATTATGAAGAGAGCAATGGGAATAGAACAAAGCCCTATGGTTACATTATGAAAAACAGACTCCACTTAAAACTGAAAACCTGACTGATGAGAAATGCTTAGGGGTCCATTCCACTCCTCACTGGGAGCTGTCGACATGCATCAGAGAGCAGAAGTTGGCCCCAGATACCTGTGTGCACTTCCTATTAACATAAGCAGGTATTACGCATATACTTATTACCGGAGACCCCTTTCGGGAGGAAAGGCATTTGGGCTAATTTTTTTAAAAGGTATGTGCGGAGGTGTTTACCCACACAAGGTGCGGAAAGCTTAATATGGGCCTGAGAGGCCAATTAACCATCCTGGTGAACCGGGAAGGTGGACCAGGACTAAATAAAAATAAAACCCAGCTGGGGGAGAACAGGGCTTTTTCTCCATAAAGAGCTGCATGAGCCCAGTTGAGGGGAGTGAAAATGGGAAGTGCCCTCTGCCTGGGGAGCAGCCTGAAAAGAAGTCTTAGGGGTAGAAAAGACCAGACAGGCTTCTCCAGAGGTGAGCTGAAGGTGTAAGATGGGGGCCTGCCGAGCTAGAGCTTGCCAGAAGCCCCGAGCAAGGGGAGGAGTGTGCCTGCTTGTGGACTGGGGAGCTGCGATGGTAGAGGCTGGCTGAGCCCAGCTCGGCTGAAGGTTTGATTTGAATAATTGACTTTTTTTTACTTTGAAAATGTACTATGTGGCCCTGGAAGGGGCTGAACTCTGCAAAGTGGTCTGGCTGGAGGGCCAGGACATTCTTATGGCCAGAGTAGGACAAAGGACAGCTGGGGAAACTGATTCACATGTTGCTGCAGTACTGTATCCAGCCAGGAGGGGGCATGTTGGGGCAGCAACTTTGCTACCGGCAGGTTTTGGTTTTGAAAGACATTTTCATCAGTAACTGGCTGACGATGCAGGATATGCTGTTTCCCTCTGACTCCAGGCTGTAAAATGAACTCTAGATTTTAAGGTCTAGGTAGCAATGGCGTGAGAGCTCCTGCTGAGACCTGATAAAGTAATGTCAGAGATGAGCCAGCTGGCACCATACTCATTACTCACACTTACCCTCTGACTGTACATGCAAATTCTGATTGTCGTTTGATGTCAAGCTTATAAGTATTGCTACTGATAACAATAGTTTTCCGGGATAAAGCATGGATAAAAGCATTCCATTGCTCTTGGTGGGTAGATATATTATTTATTGATAGGCCTCAGAGCAGCCCCTCCCTTTTAGATGTTCCTAATTCACTCACTGAAGCTATTTGATGCATCACTACCTAGTGGAGCCACAGCCCTGACTAATGTTTGTAGTTCACCTCAAGGATGTAAAGTTTATGCTTGTGTCCCGTTGTCTAGGCTATAAAGCTTCCTAAGACCAATGCAAGGTGGGTTTAACCTTATGCAGAATTGAATCAGCTCAGTTCTCCACTGTGTCGCAGCACGTGTAGTCAGCTGGGCATGTGCAAAGTGCATGTTAATGAGTTGATCCCATTCCACACTTCTGAGATGATTCTCCCCTGGGGAAAGTAAGTGCAAGCTGCTGCCATTACCCTGGCTGGCTATGAGGCCAAGGGTAAACTCCAAAAGTGGTGCTGCTCAGCCAAAAAGAACTACGGGTAATAAAAATCTACATCACACCTATTCTTTAGCTAGTTGCCTTAATCAAGCTAATGTAAGTGTACTAGAGCAGCTGGGAGGTGTAATGCTGTAATGTGAAGTGCAAAGCTTGTGTACAGAAACCTTTGTCAGTAACAACATCTCACATTGCCACAGTCCATATCTATATCTCCCCTTTTGCGGATGTCTGCCAGTGACGGGTGTGTCCCCTTTTCAAGCTCCTGTACCTATGTTGCCTTTTTGTACAAGATTCTTGCTTGTCATGTAGCTCATGGAAATGGCAATCCATTTGTTTTCAGCTCACAAAAGCTCATGCTCAAATAAATTTGTTAGTCTCTAAGGTGCCACAAGTACTCCTTTTCTGTCAGACATGTTTACAGGGAAGGAGCCTGCAAAAAGCCATTAAGAGCTTGTACTAATGGAAGGATTGGAAAGGGGAAAAGCCCTGAAATTAGTAGCGGGTGTGAAGAGGTTCCTCAACATCTGGCAGTGGATGTCAGGGGTTGGTAAGAATCTTTGCAGATGAATACATGATTGTGGTTCCAGTGCAGATGTTGGGGGTACTTTACAGTGGCTGTGGCATGGGAATCAGAGATTTCCCAGTGGGGCACTTGCCCTCTGCAGATTTATTCAGCATTCACTGTAGGAACTGCTGGTGCCTATTCTCACATATGCGCAGCTCATCCTGTTCACCCTGCTCCACTCTGTGCACCACCAGGATATTCAAGTAGATCTGTTCAGGGATTACAGTCCTCCTGTGAGCTACTGAGGCAGAGACAAGGAAATGAATTGAAGGGACCATGGGTGTAGCTGCATGGCTCATTCCTTTGACTCGTCCCTGTTACACAAAGCACCCTTTGTCTGCACTTGTGTGTTTCTGGTGTAAAAAGTGCTAGAAAACCAGGAACGTGTATCTTAGTGACACCAGAATTACCCATGAAGCTGCAGTGCGCATTTTGCACATGCAACCCAGAATCAAGGCCGATGTCTTTCCATTGCATTAATTCTTGGAGTGAATTGTGTGCCAGCCAGTTACATTTTAAACCCACAGTTGTGTGATTTCTCTGTGTGGCTTTGTTTCTAAGGGTGACCTAATAGGAAATCAGCACCATCAAATTCTTAGGCGTGAGATGTGCATTAAGCAATTAAACTGAGCAATAAATATAGCACTTGTTTTGACAAAGCCTTCATTTCCTATTCTGTTTTAACAACAAGAATAATCAAACTTCTGTAGAAAATCAGTTTCTGGTTCTACTGGGAAACATGCCAAGTTATTCGCAAGCAGCTTAGATGAATGGCAAACAGCAGGATTCCTTGCTTTGGGCTGCCCACATGCTGGAGGGATCTCTGCATCCAAGCCCTACCCCCCTTTGTCCACTCCCCAATCTGATGGGAAAGAACATTCTGTGGAGTGTTATATTCTGCCATATGCAGGGTAAAGTCCTATTAGGTCAGTGCCCTGTGGCACCAGGCTCCAGTATGCTGGTTCCTTTGGGGTGAAGGCAGTGGATAAGTCCCTCTGTCCTGTGCTGTGTTGCTGTTTGGGAGAGATGATGTGACTCAGCATTGGCTGAAACATGAAAGCAAAGCAGGTCCAACGAGAACAGGTTCATTTTCTTTGCTGATGGTTGGTGAATTTGGCAATTCTGTGCTCATTTGATTTACCGGCCTTGGAGGTGAGCTGCGATGTCCATAAAGTAGATCAGAACTGTAGCAATTTCACCATGAAATAAAATTCAGACGCTCTGTTTAATCACAGCATCCAACTGTTTCCTTTTCTCGCCGAAGGGGCTGGCTTTTTGGCTCATTATGTGACTGGAACATGAAGGCTGTGAGGCTGACAAGGAGAGGAAACTCTGTCTCAGCACTTTCCAATACCCAGCCCCCAACTGGCTTCCTCCCCCACCCCCCAACCTCAATCCCCCAGCGTTTGCTGCAGAACACTGTCTGCTGCCTAGCAACAGCACCGTGGGCGATGTCGCAAGGACTCGGACTGTGAAAGGGGAATAAACAACAGTTCCTGGATTTGTCTAGGGTTGCAGCTGTGGGAGGCTCATTGGCCTACCAGCATCTGTTGGAGATATTTTCAGAAACCAGGCTAATATACAAAAGACTCCGACTGCAACATTAATGATAAACTCTGTGCTTCTGATGGGTTTGAATTTTTCTCTGCATAGCCAGTGCTCAATGCCTGACTAGTAGCTGCAACCTGAGAACCCATTGCTGAAACCTAAACAAAACCTTTGGTGTCAAAAGCAGTTTTGGAAATAGGAAATATTAACCCAGCTCCAGGTAGTATTAAAAGTCCCGTATAAAGACAGCAGACATGTCACAAGATCTGCATTTCACCAAACACAAGGGTCTGGACTAGGGTTACCAACTTTGTGATATTTAAAAAACGGACACTCCAGCAGTGCAAGAACCTCCCCTGCCCCGCCTCTTTGCCAAGGCCCCACCTCCGTTCGCTCCTCTTCTCCCATCCCCCTGCCGCTCGCTGCTCATAGATTCATAGATATTAAGGTCAGAAGGGACCATTATGATCATCTGCTCTTCCCCTCTCCATCTTCTCCCAACCCACCTGGTTTGGGAGGGACTCACCTCCGGAGCTGGGACTGGGAGCTGCAGCTGCCTGACGCAGGTAGGAGGTGGCCCTGGCTAAGTAGGGGCTGGCGCGGGTGATGACCAGTGTTCCCTCTAATTTTTCCCATGCATGTGCAGAATGAATTTTGTTATGTGCACCAATATGGAGGTGATGTGTGACCCATCGCCTCCATATAGGTGCACATAACAAAATTCATATGGTGGGGATGAGGCTGAGGTGTTCGGAGTGTGGGAGGGGGCTCAGGGCTGGGGCAGAGGGTTGGAGTGTAGAGGGGTGAGGACTCTGGCTGGGGGTTCGGGCTCTGGGGTGGGGCCAAGGATGATGGGTTCTGGGCTGGGGCAGAGGGTTGGGGTGCAGGAGGGGTGAGGGCTCTGGCTGGGGGTGCGGGCTCTGGGGTGAGGATGAGGGGTTCAGGGTGGGGCATAGGGTTGGAGTGTAGAGGGGTGAGGACTCTGGCTGGGGGTTCGGGCTCTGGGGTGGGGCCAAGGATGAGGGGTTCCGGGCTGGGGCAGAGGGTTGGGGTGCAGGAGGGGTGAGGGCTCTGGTTGGGGGGGCGGGCTCTGGGATGGGGCAGGCTCTGGAATGGGGGTTTGGGGGGCACGCTGCTCTGGGGCTACAGCGGGAAGAGAGGACTCTCCCCAGCTCTCTCTCCACACAGCAGCACTTGAGCTGGGGGGAAGAGGCACCTCTCCCTGCCGCAGCAGCTTCGGGGCTGGGGGGACAGGATCGGTGCCTTTCCCCTGGCCGCGGCAGGTCTGGCCGCAGTCAGGGCCGCCGGTGACGGTCTGCGGCTTCGCCCAAAGAGGTGGACCGTCTGTCACTGGTGCCCCGGAGGAGCGGCAGCGACTGTGGACTCCTTTCCGCCCCGTCGCTGGCAGGCAGCCAGTGTCTGCTGCCTGCCTGTGATGGAGGGCAGGGGCAGAGAGAGGAGCCCTCAGCCGGCTGGCTGAGGGGAGTGAGTGGACGGAGTGGGGGACGGAGAGAAGCTTGTGCCGCCAGGCCTAGAGGAGCATGGGGAGGGGCTGGAGAAGAGCTAGGCCGGGCCAGCGGGGCCCCTTCTGAGCGTGGGCCTGCCACCATTATAAACCCGGTATTGCTCGGGCCGGGCTGGGGGAGGGGTGCCTCTCCCTGCCATGGCAGGTCCAGGGCTGGGGAGGGGCCTCTCTCCCCGCCGCAGCCCTGAGTGCCGGCATGGTGCTTAATAAGCTGCTGCGCGGCCACGTGGCTTAGAGGGAACTTTGGTGATGACCCAGCGCCTCCCAGCCTCCCCTACCCGCACCAACCGGACTTTGGGTGTCCAATCAGTAGATCTGACCAGACGCTGTCAGGTCCCCCTTGTTGACAGGACTTTCCAGTTGAAAACCGGCCACCTGGGCACCCTAGTCTGGCCTTGAAAACTTCAGGAGTAAAAAGGAAAGGTGGAATCTCTCAAGTGAGTAAAAAGACCCCATATACTCTGAGTAAACCCACATTGCAGCCATTCAAAGTGTCAAGGGAGAGTAGGAAATACATTTCTATACGAGATTTACACACCCTTTTCAATACCCTGGGGGTGGGGGGATTTTCAACATCAAGTAGGGGTAGGGACATCTGGTCCTTAGAAACCAAGAACACCCTTTAGCAAATTTTCCCCTATCCTGGGGAATGCCATATTCCCCACCTTTTCTGTTTTAATCGCTAATGCCAGGAGTCAGTGTGGAAAAGTTATCTCAGCCTCCCCCAGTCTGATATCTAAATCACCAGAGGGAAGAAAGGGTGGGTGATGGGCAGGCCAGGCTTTCCAAACTAACTGCTGCCAGGGAGAATGCGGGTGAGAGTGATGCATGATGGTAGTGGGGGAGAGAGGAGAAATCTACCACTGACTCAATGCCCTGTGAATAGGAATTTCAAAGAACTATGTATTATCAGTCTGGTCTTTGCCATTGCTCAACAAGTTTGACCTCACAAGCCATTGATTCTGTGTGAATGGATTAGGGCTGACATCATTGGAACTGTCCTGTTACCTGCAAGTTAAGACTTGAAGGACACAGGAAAAAATTTAGGGCAGATGTGATGTCATCAACCTAGATTTTGCACAGTGATGTGGAGATGTTTGTATGATAACATATGTACATTATGAGGTCACAATATTGCATCATGACAATTTCACGATGTGGAATGCCAGCTTCACTAGATTGTGTTTTATTGACTTTTTCCCAGAGGGCTCTGAAAAGTCCTAGATTATATGTGCCGCAGTGTTATCCCTAGTTTACAGTTCCAGAACTGGGTTTATCCTTTGCAATGTGGACAGGCTGTGCTGTACTTTATCTGATGGCCACTGCATGCAGCAGTCAGCATAAAGTTAAAAGATTTCTAGGCCAAAAAAAAAAAAATAACACCAGATTCAGTTCTTGGCAGGCTCACGTTAGGCCCCATGTACAGCATTGGAAATTTTATCAAAATGAAACACAAAGGGCCTCATACCTAAACAGCTTGTCCTAAAATGAGCCCCAGTATTTTCCACTGCATCCATGTGTGCGCACAGAATCCCCTGCACTGATACATACAAAACCAACACTGAATACATTTCGTACTGTTCCCATGGGGGTCAGATTTTTAAAGATGTATGTATGCAACTTGGCCACATGCAGCTGTTTTTGGTGCAGCCGCTGTTGCAGAAAAGCAAGTTCATCATTCATGCAAAAATATCTTTTAGATTGCAAGCTTCTTGGGATGGAAACCGTGAGTTTAGTTATGTGGTGTTTATTGCTGAGCAAACTGTCAGTGCCAAATTAATGATATGCCCAAATAAATTGGTTAGTCTCTAAGGTGCCACAAGAACTCCTTTTCTTTTTGCGTATACAGACTAACACGGCTGCTACTCTGAAACCTGTCAATATACTTAAACTCATCCCTGGTATAAATCATTGAAGAAATGCTCTCATGTAATGTCTGTTTTGCAAGCATAGAAAAAAAGCGGGCATGCTTATTGGTTTACCCACCATCACAGATGCCAAATCAATCTTCATATTTTTTATCTTGTTTAGCTTTGGGCACTATGGCTTACTGCTGAGACATTAAAATCATTACAGGTCACTGAAGGACAATGGAGCTATTTACACCAGGTATGGATCTCACCTGATGCTTCTAATCTGTTTTTGGAAATACCATTTTTAGAGAATGGTGTTTCTGAGTATGATATAACCTCACCCAGACACAATCTCTGGCTTGCTCCTACATTCCTAAGCAAGGAATGCAGGATCAGCCCTTCCTAATACTGCATTGTATTGTAATTCCTTGTTTGGCCCTAAGAGGGCAGCTCCACACAGATTTATTAGTAAATTGGTTAGGCACAAGCAAAATGACCTACCTGGCAGTGTCCACACAAAGTAATACTCTGAGACATATGAACACTTAACTACATATTTATAATTAAATGAAGGAAATGGAAAAATGCCATCCAGTTTCTAAGACTACATCTGGTTCTGTTTTAAAGGTCTCTCTCTCTCATTCATACTGTAAATATCCTAATCCAAATTTTAATTTTGTTCTCATCTCATCTGGGAAGACAAGTGTGTGGCAGAATTCTTTCATGGCACAATTCATCATTGCTCACATTTCATTTTGCAGTTATACGGTCTTAATATTTCCCAGTAACTTTTCATTTCTTGTGTAGGTGCCATGCTTTCTTCCATGCTGCGTCTCAAGCAAGGAACCTTCTAATCCCAGTGCAAAAGATCCTTCTCTTCTCATTCAAGACTCACCTCTTCAGTGAGTCCGACACATTAACCGATGCCAATTGTTGCCTTCTTCCCCCTATTTATAGTGGAGTGAAAGACAGAATGGAAAAATGGATGACTCCAGGAAGAAGAAAAAAGCCACAGAAAACACTGACACTACGCCCCATATTCTTTATAGAGATATTGTTATGATATGATTATGGCATAGCTATGATATATTTTATGCAAGATAGGTCATGTAAGATATCATTGAAAAGGTTATGATTCATTAAATATGATTGTCCTATTTGTATGCATGTATCATTTTGGTATCTGAATTTAGGAATATTGTCTATGCATCTATTACAAATGTGTGTGTAATCAGTCTAGACGGCTGGCTGGGAAGGGCCATTAGGAAGAACAATAAGTCTTAGAAGATGCTAATCTCCTACCCGGGAGCCTTCCTGAGGATGCTACAAATAGCCTCCAAATCATGGCTGCTGTTTCCCTACAGGGGCATGTGACCAAGTCACATGGTACTGGACTCCATCATAGAATACCAGTGTTCTTTTCCACTGAAAGGCGTGGGAACCAAGCTGGGAGAGAAAGGGTTCCCACCATATGCAAAAGCTATTTAAGGCAGTGGAGTGACATCATCATAGTTCTTCACTGACTCCCCACCCAAAGGAGACTCCTGGAAACACCTGAGAAGCAAGGATTGAACTGGGGGAAAAGGGCTGAACCCAGACTAGAGGGATTTCTAGCTTGTGAAAGGAATATCTGGGGTTTTAAGCTGCAATCAAGTACAGCTTGCCCTCAAGAATCTCTGCAAACTGCCTGAACCAACAATTAGAGTGAGAATTTGCTACTCATATCCAATTTCTTTAGTATATTAAGCTTAGATTGCATTTTTGTGTTATTTGCTAGGTAATCTGCTTTGATTTGTTTGCTATCCTGTATAATCATTTAAAATCTATCCTTTATAGTTAATGATCTTTGTTTTTGTTTTGTCTAAAACCAGTGTGTGAAAATCATAATGGGGGGGGGGGCAGCGCAGAAAGCTGTTGCATATTTTCCTCCACATTGAGGGAGGGGGCGAATTTCATGAGCTTACGCTGTACAGTCCCCTGTGCAGCGCAAGATGGCAAGATGGTATAATTTGGGTTTACACTCCAAAGGGGGGTGCATGCATTAGGAACTGGCAGGTGCCTTAGCTGAGCCTTCCTATGCAGAGCTGATCTCAGCATCTATGTGTAGCTGCAGCTGGGTGTGTCCCTACCTGTATGTGTGCTGGAGGGGATTTGAGGGCCTGTCACAGCAGTACAGTGTAAAGGGAGCCCAGGCTGGTGAGTCAGGCAAGCTCAGTAGTACCCCAGTTCCAGGCGGCATCCTGGGAGGAACCTGTCACAAACACATTCTAAGGTACCACTTATTCTAGGTCTACTAGTGTGTTGTGTCTTGTCTTGTCTGTGTTTGCCTTTTAAGCTGTAAATTCCTTGAATTGTATCTCTGCTTTACACAGTGCAGAGACGTGACCAGAGCTTAGCATATAATCATGCTACCAAGCTGTGTCTTTGAGGTCCTAATTATAATTGCTTTACTTTTAAATTTAGTTTTTAGCAATAACCAACACTATTCATGTTTGTGTAGCACCTGGCACATTGGGGCCCTGATCTTAGCTGAAGCCTACACTCATGGAATGCAAATAGTGATAATAATCATATTGTTATTTTTCTTGCCATTTCTCAGTCTTCTACATTGCATGAAAAAGAAATGGGACAGTAACGCAGTGTATCAATGGTTCTCATTTATGTTTGATATAGTATCACATCCAGAAAATGTTTCTCTTGAACTTGAGTTTACTACATTATTTTTTGTTTCAGTGCCTTTTAGCAGAGGTGACAGTTCAACACCAGCCAGGTCTCTTCCATAACAGTGGAATTGGATATCACGACATAAGAACATAAGAGCAGCCATACTGGGTCAGACCAAAGGTCCATCTCGCCCAGTATCCTGTCTTCCAACAGTGGCCAATGCCAGGTGCCCCAGAGGGAATGAACAGAACGAGTAATCATCAAGTGATCCATTCCCTGTCTCCCATTCCCAGCTTCTGGCAAACAGAGGTTAGGGACACCATCCCTGCCCATCGATGGCCCTATCCTCTATGGATTTATCTAGTTCTTTTTTGAACCCTTTTTTTGTTGTTACCTTTCTTTATGACAGAAGTTCTTTGGATTCTCCTCTTTTCCTTAATCATCTCTCTCTCTCTCTCAGAGCAGTATCATCACAATTTCCCTTGCAAGTTGTCATTACCTTTGTAATCTGTTGTGGACTCTCTGAGGTTATTTAATAAATGGTAAATTTCCACTTGTCATTTTCATCACCTGTCATAGTGGAAGTATAGCTCTACATAATGGTTGGGCTAGCTGGAGTGTTAATTGAAGGAGGCTTTAGGTAAATCATTGTGGGCCAAATATAACCTGTAAGCAAACACAATTCTGTTAACATCAGTTGGCCATTCATGATATTGTGGATGTAGTAGAATCTTTATTTGAAAGTATGTCACTGACCGATATATTTTCTCTCTCATCGTGCATTATTCCCTGTCTTTCAAGGATGCCAGTTGATAGAACTTGAGAAAGCTCCTTCTGTTCTGTATAGTTTCTTATACAATACTCATCACCGTAGAATTTGAGTGCCTTCCACTAAGCAATGTGACTATACATCTGCTACGTGTTGTCTGGTCTCTCATCCTCTTGCAGGAGTAGAAGCAATTGCAATGTAGTGTCCATGTATCATCCGTGAATGTCAGTATTTGAGAAACGTGTCGCTTGAGCTAGAAGCTGCAATGTATCCATTCGATTTAATGATGTTCTAACTTCCAAAGCACTCTTCAAACAAAGCATGGTTGTTTTCTAGCTAACCGTATGAGAAGTTCATATCTAACCAGCCTATATTGTCTTCTTGAGAGATGGTGGTAAAGGCTCTTCTAAGAATAAGATAATTAAGTGGGTTGCTAAGGGGCCTGAAATTTACCATACTTCTTTATTTAAAATATCAAGAATGAGACTGGGCTTATATGCAGAACACTGACACTGCCCTGTGAGGAAAATGGAAATTACTCTGAGTTTGTGATGAAACATACGTTTTTCTTCTTGCTAATCATTAACTATTCAGTCACATATGAGTATTGCTAATCCTATTTGAGAACAAAAAATGAATTATTGGCTACTAGAGCTGGCTGACTAGAACAAAGAGGGACTGATACATATTTTCACGAATAATTGTGGCGAGTTCACTTTGCTTTTAATTAATTTGTTTACGAGTTGTTCATATGATTATTGGTTTATTTGTGAAAATGTTTGGGAGTCACAAAAGATTAATGAATGATGATTCATTGTAAAATTTATACCAGGACTGTTGTTGGTTATTTTCCTGTTTTAACAGTTCCGATCATCCAATCACAGAACAGAAGAACACACCCAATTTAGGTGATCAGTCAGATACCAGGAATAAGTAACAATGAACTGTTTGCAAAACACTATAGGGTGACATATACACAAATACTAATAATTACCTTAGCACCTAGGAGCCCTAGTTGTGGTTGGTGCTGTAGAATAAAAAGATAGTCCCTGCCCCAAGGAACTTACAGTCTAAAGACAAGAGACAACAGATGCATACAGACAGGCAAGAGAGACAATATAGGTCAGCATGATAGGCAGTGATCTGAGCAGACCAGCAGCCTTAATTTGTTTGCACAAACTATTCGATAAATATTAATAAAAAAAAGTATCATTGCAGAAATCAGGATTTATTTGCAAATGATCCATGATCAGAGAAAAGGCCAAATGTTGTCCTATAAATCAAACAGATGATAAAAACACTGGTGAGGTTGCAGATAATTATAAAACATTTGGGCTGCATTGCAGAAAAGACAACAGCCAGGTTTCATGGTGTCTGGCAACATTGCACCTCGAGGGCAGGTCTGACTGAACAACCTTTACATAAAAATCTAACTTTGCCTGTTCCTCTTGCACTGATCCCTTCTGCTTTTATTATGTCACAGGTCATTAACAAACAGAAGGAGACCAGCTTCCTTTATACTTAACTCATTTTGGAGTCTGAAAGCTAAACAAAGTTTCCCTGGCATTTATTTCATTCTAGGGAAGACACCTTTCTCAGCTTTAATTAAAAATCTCTGCTCCCACCCAAACACATACCTCTCCTGCATGTGTATTAAATAGATTAATTTCCCCTCTGCTTACAGTGCTTTGTAACCAGTCCTATTTATTATGGCATCACTGTTATTACTCTGATGATATAGTGCACTTGAGGGCTTCAATAATGAACTGTAATAAAAGGCATTACAAGGAAAGGGTACTTTTCTGGCTGCTTGGGGCTTTGTGTGTGTGTGTGTGTGTGTGTGTTGATAGATATGGTTCCTTTCTTACTTTTAACTAAGGAAAGAGGTTCTTGGGGGCATCCCAGAACATTAATTAAAAATACTTTCTTTAGACATTCATTCTAACAGTCCTGGGAATATGAGGAGTCTGTTGAACTTGTCAGGCTTGACTAGTTTTCCAGTTGGCTTGCTTTGTCTCATCTGAGTGCAGGTATCCCACAGCTTGCAAATCCGGCTCTTGATTTACAAGGGCTTAAGGTCCCTGATTAAAAAATCAGCATTTTTGACGGAATGCCAACATTTCTTTCTGGTGAATTTTCTTTCTTAGTCACCTATTAGATATTGTAAACTGCTAACAAAACCCCTGCTGGTTTTCAGTACTGCTTCATGGTCAAATCTCTTCAACTTGTTTTGTGTTGTAACTGTTTGGGTTTCTTTCAAATGGGCAACTTTATCCTTTTTGCAGTTTAGAATTTAGGGACAATTTGAAAAAATTGCCACCGAAGAGCATGCACAGACAGGCATGGTTGCTGGTGCACACTCTTAAGCATGCATGGCAGTTGGGTTTGCAGATTGCGTGCTTGACCTTACAATTTCCATTACATGGAAAAGTGCATTTAGATGCTTAAACTGTGCACAAACAGTTTTATAATTTGGCTTTTAAAGATTTAGGTTATTGAATAATCAACAGCGTCTGCCTTTTAAAAAGTGCTATTCTTCCCTCCCACCCACAAGACTGCATGAGTACTTCCATTCCAAGGAATCAGGAAATAAAGTACAGTTCTATAGTGTGTCTTGATTTTCTTTAGAAACATACAGAATCTTATAAAGCCCTCTGTGATACCGCCTTTCAACCTATTTCCCTCCTGTCTGTCATATTGTCTGGAAATTCTCATTATTGTCACAGATGAGATGAACTGATTCCAGTGACTAATTTGGATAGCTTCATGGAAAAGGCAGTTACTGTGCTCCAGCCAGTAAGTGTAGCACCCTTTGTATGCTGTACAGAATACTGGAGACAGATTTGGAATCTTCAATGATGCTGATTTGATTAGATCTATTCACACATGTCCCAGAATGGCATCTGAGCATGAAGACTTGTTCTAGAAAATGGCCTGGACAGGTAAGGGGTAGTGTTCTGCCATCCCTCTTTCCTTTAGTAAAAGTGCTCTTTAATCCCATGGTCCAAGAAGGGAAAAGATCTCCAACTCCATGGAAGAGTGCAAACAGCTTCCACCATGGGTACCACTGAGAAAGTCACCCTGTAAAATGAGGTCACTTTTGCTATGTGTATGTAAGTGATAGGACAAGGAAAGGATGCTGCAAACCTAGGTGGAGTTCTAATACCTTTGTCATAGGCTTTGTTGCAGCATATGACTGAAATAAATCTATAGAATGTCCTCTCTCCGTCAAGGGCCAAAACCAATAGTGTTTCCCTAATCCAACCCTGGAAGTGTGCCTTTTTCAGCCAGATGCATGAGGGACGGAAGGAAAAGGAATCAGTCAGTCTACTTGCTTCCCCTTTTGGCTTTCTGCTTCCTAGAATACCTTCCCCCTTGAATCTCATTGCCAGTTTCCCCTCAAGTGCCAAAGCACAGCCCTTTAATTGTAAGTAGAGTGGACTTAATTCCACTACCAGAAGCTCTTCCTAAAGCCAGAGAGGAGGGAGGGTTGGCCTCTTCCTTCCCAGCATCTGACTGGAGCTTGTACATTCATCACATTAACCTCCATGGAAAATAGTGACCTGCATTGCACCACTTACCTGGTGCTATACAATGTGTTCAAGGCAGAGCTGAAGCCTAGTGGGGAAGGGGATGAGGAATGCATTATCCCAGCATCACTATGTAGGCTTTGTGTGGCTGGAGCTCTCTGCTGAATTATCCAGAACAAGACAAAGTGCGCTATTTTTCAAATCTCTCTTGCTTTTGTGATCTAAGGATGCATTCCCTGGTGCAAAACCTACTTTTCAGATTAGCAATCTGTAGCTCGGGTTTTCAGTTGATTTATGGCTTATTGTTCCAGGGTGACTAACTTAAAAAAAAATCCAGACAACATAAATAACCATACTCTAGGACCTTTCCAATAATTTCAGATCAGAGCCAAGGAAGCGCCACCTCTCCTATGTAAGAACAACGGGCAGCAGCTATGAGAGGAGATTCTTTTTTTTGATCTACTGTATGTAGGTACTTACATGGTCCCCATCGTTATAGTATCTGAGCCTCTCACAGCCATCAATCGGTTTATCCTCACAACACCCCTGGGAGAGAGAGAACAAGTAGCTCCATTTCACAGATGGGGAACTGAGGCACAGAAATATGTAGATCTCTGCCCTGCAAAGTGCTGAGCACTCTGGCCTGGAGCCAGCAAACCACTTAAGCACCTTGCAGAATCAGCTACTAAGTGGCCCTGGTCACATGGGAGTCCTGTTGCAGAATCATGAGATGAACCCCTGGCTCCTACTCTAGTGCCTTAACCATAAAACCATCCTTTCTCCCAAAGATATCACATACCAGAGCTCCTCCGTGACTGGAGCTGCAAAGAACCATTCCAAAAGCAGGGTCTGGTGTCAGGATTGTGTGGCCTAGGTGCTTTAAAGTCTGCCCTATGAAGTGTCGACTGCCTTCTGGAGGCTGTCCAGCATCCTCAACCTCCACCAACTTCAATGGAAATTGGGGATGCTCAGTGCCTAGCTGGATTAGGCCCCTAGGCTAGCTGATGTCTATATGAGAGGCAGTGCAGGGGGTCATAAGTATCTGGTATACGGGCTCCTGCTAATGCTGGTTTTGCAAACATGTTGGGCTTGATTCTGATCTTCCACCTTTACACTGGTGTTACTCCATGGCCCCGATCTTCTGCTTTGCTAAGAGGCTTTTATGGTGTTTGGGTAGAGGAAAGGGGACGTAGAGGCAGGAGCTCTCTTCTGAGGAACACTCTGAGCATAAAGGGGCTCCCCAACAGGTAGCGGAATGGCTCTAGCCTGACCCCCATCATAGCCCCCATTGTAGGTAGGCTCTGAGAGGGGCAGGCGGGGAAGTAAGGGAATAGGGCAAAACACCTCTGTAATCCAGCTATTCCTGGCTGCCCGTGGCCCTAGAAGCTGCTCTAACACCTGCCAGGGGCCAGGAAGGCGCCCTGCCATGCCCAGAACATCAGAGGAGCTCAGTGTCACCTTTGCACACCCTGCTCCATACCTGTGCTGAGTGCATCTCAGGTGGACAGGAGAATTGGGCCCATAGGCGCCAACTTACTCGGCTCCTGGGGGGTGCTTGACCCCTGCCCCGCACCAGGCCCTGCTCCCACTCCACCACTTCCCCCCTAAACCCCCACCCTGCCCTGCCTCTTCCTGCTCCTACTCTGCTCCTTCCCCTGCCCCCAGCGCCTCGTACATGCTGCTGAACAGCTGATTGCGGCAGGCGGGAGGCCCTGGGAGGGAGAGGGCGGAGGTGATCAGCGGGGCCATCAGCGGGCGGGAGGCACTGAGGGGGAGTGGGTGGCACTGATCCGTGGGTGCTGGTGGGTGCCGAGCCCCCTCTGTTTTTTTTCCGTGGGTGCTTCAGCCTCGGACCACCCACGGAGTCGGTTTTCTTTTTGCGAATACAGACTAACACGGCTGTTCCTCTGAAACTTGACTTCAACTGTGTTCCACCATTGCAAATGAGAGCCGAATTGGGCCGGCTGTGCTCTAAGTTGTTGAGAAAACAGGTGCAGAGTCTGAATCTGGACACACGTCTTTAAAAAACTAGTTTCCTTTGGGTAACCATGACAACACATAGTCCTGCTTTTTTATGGACTGTTAGCCCCCTATTATTTAATCACAACAGCCAGAGATAGGGCCCACAATCTTAAAGGCTCAGTAATAGATTACCAGCTCTTGGAGTGAATGAATCTACTCCTTCAATAAGCTGCAAAAGAGCAGAAATGAGAACAAAATAATATTATCCTTTCACATGGTTCTTCTTACCTTTCTAAACTGGTCCCATAACACTTTCAAAGGAGCAGGAGTATGATTTGGCTCTAAGTCTGTCTTATGTAACATCCAATTTATTTGTTTCTCCCTTTTTAAAGGTTTATTAACAAGGAAGGAGAAAAACTTGCCCAGAAATTTAGAGGGTGAGAAAATGTTAAGACAGTTCTGAGTCCCTTTGAGCTATTCATGGGAATTGCATAACAACTGTCATGGGGTTGCTAGGTTTTACCACGTCCCTGCACTGTGTTAAATATTAACAGTACTCGTACTTTCACTGGTATTGTTCAAGAGCCTGGATACTGCTCAGCCAATCACAACCAGGTGGGTTTCCATGGAAGCAATATCACTGATTCATTTCATTCACAATGAAATCCACGCAGCACTTGCCTAAATTGATCTATAAAAATGAATCATTTAAAACTGAAGCAAAACATTTCTTGATGTTTATTCTATGCTATCTGTGCATGTCTGTTTTTTTCCTTAAAAGTAACCTTTCCAAATACATACATATTTTGCCTTCAGTGGCAGCTGTGCAAAACCACATGGTGCTTTTTAACCCTGGTGTCACCAGCTTTGAAAAGATGTCTGTAAGACTGAATTAATTCTTCAAAATGTTATTTTCTAAACTGAGAGTATCCCTCCCATTCCTTGTCTCAATAGTGCATTTCCCAGTGTAACCTTTCAGCTTCAAACTTGAAGTTCCTTAATGCAGCTTGGCGGGGTAAATTTTTATCATGTGAAGTCATAAGACCCGTTTATATCAGCCTTGGATGCAGGCATATTTCCTTTGCTGTTGTTGTTTTGATGATGGCAGCACTAGATCCCAGAGATCAGGCATATTCAATTTGCATGTGCTCAATCACGTTTTTGTCATGTCTCTAATTAAGCTAAGTAGGGTATTTGATTCAAGTACTAATTTGAAATGACCACTCTAAAATACATAGGATATTTATGGCTCTGTGACATTTGCATAGTCAGGCTTCAGCGCCTTATTGATGGGTTTGTGTGAGTAATAAAATGACTGCTGCCATCATCTACCCCCTTTTAATCTATGGCACTAAAATGTCATTAGCCAGAAATACCATATCTAAGGAGATGGAGTTTCTGGGAATGGGAATAAGCATACACTGGATACGGTGCCATCCTGCAAGTAATGGCAAACGTAACGGATTCCCGGGTTGGGAATCTGGGGGACCAAGATCCATTCCTGTGTGCCCTTGTAAAATAATTAAAATATTACTACACATTAACATGCTGTAAAGCCTTTCATACCAAGGGATCCCAAAGTGTTTTGCAACTCTTCACATATCACTAGTATGGACTGGGGAAACTAATCAGCACACAGCACAATAACACAGAGAAGGGATATTTTGCCCAGTGACACCAGGCCAAACTACTCTTTCAAAAATAGCAATGGTCTCTTTGATGCCCAGGTGGAGCAGAGATTACCTTAATTTTTCACACACAATAAGTTGCAAGGCCTCAGGAGGTTGTAGAGCTCAATTAAGCAAGATAGGATTTGAACCTGTGATTCCAAGGAGCGGAAGCATTTCAAAGGTGAAGCTGAGCCCATTCAGTTGGCCTTCTTTGCCAGTTTCCTCTCAGAACAGCATTGTGAGCCTTACTATTTAGGGAAAAGTCTAGCTTTACCAGTGTGAGGTGTGCTGGGCAGGGAGGAACGCGGTGGTAACACTGAGCATGGGGTCTCTGTGCCATCCTGTCTGAGCATGCAAAAAGGCCCAGGGACACAGCATTACCTACCACTCCTAACAGCTATTATAAGCTGCAGCAAGGTGTGCCTAAGTTTCCGTTGCCTACTGCAAACTGTAGGAGTGCATGTGGAAGCTAGGGTGTGGGCCACAGCCCAGCCTAGATGACTGGGGTACATGAAATGCCATAGTCACATTTCCCAGTTCCTCCTCCTCACACGCATGAGGCCCAGCGGAGTGCTTAGATCCATATGAAGCCAGACTATTGCACAAATGTATGAAGTGGGGGGAAAAAGGGCTTCTTGAGTCCTCATCCTCTTCTGTTGCACCCACACAAGGCAGGGCCCTTATAAGTGCACCCCGCACAAGAGTCCAGCCCTTCACATTGGTCAACAGTGTTGCGGTACCAGATGGGAGGCACTTTAGAGGAATATTTTAAAATAACAAAATACTTCCTTCAAGGGGTTGATACTATGAAATGCTGAGAACCTAAAATCCTATTGCCAGCCAGAGGAGTTGGAGATGCTCTCAGCGCTGTTCAAGATCAAGCCACAGATGCATGATAATGTCATTGCACCAGTGCATTGTTTGAAACACCTTATTCATGGAAACAGTTTTTGTTTCTGCTTTTTAAATGTACCCAGGAGGATGTAAACAAGTAAAAGGCTGTGCCCTCTCGGCCGATCGTTGGCTTGTCAGCATTTGATTCAGCTTAGACCGTGTTTGTGCTTCTGTGGCACGGCCCAGACACTGCTTTGAAGGGTTGTATAGTGACCCAAAAGGGTGCCTGCACACAGCTTCATGAATGAAGCATCCGGAGCCTTTCCAGTGCATTCCTCATAATCTAGCCCAGTTTTAGCTCACGGAGGCCCATTTGTGATGTTGGGAGTTCAAATGGATTCATTATAATCCAGGTTATTTACAGAGAATGCCAAAGGGACGAAAGAATGATTTACATAGCCCCCATTATTACCATGCATAGTCTGTTACTGATCCCATCCTCCACTCGGGAATTTTCCTTGAACCTTTCAAAGCAAACAGAAAAGGGTTAGTTATGTATTTTTAATAGGGTGACCATATTTCCCTATGCTGAATACGAGACACCTGGTAAAATTATTGTATTCAAGTGAGTTTAACGACAATCAATCAGAACTGTGCAGTACAAACGTTCAAATTAACATCAAGTTGACTGAGCCCCTGTTAGAAAGAATCCAGCTACACAGTATTTCTTTTTATTTACCTTCTTATCTTTAAGGCTTTAGGGTTCACATGGGGAGAAGTGACATACACACACATACTCCCATACACCTCTCTCACACAGGGGAGGTGCCGACCGACCTGACCCTCCCTGGCCGGTGCTCTCCACCTTCCAAGCCTGGCGGGGCCCCTGGGATGGACTTCCCTCTCCTGGTGCCACATCTTCCTGAGGCAACACATTGGGGGAGGGAACGGACAGACGCAGGGTCACATGTCCCCCTTCCCCCCCCCCCCCCCAGCAGCAGGCCTTTCGGCACTGTGCGGGAGGGAAGGGATGGGAGCTGCTTCCAGCAGCAGGGGAGTGTGTGTGTGTATTGGGGAGGGATGATCTGGCCTGTGTCTTTGCAGAGCTCATCTCTTCCCCCTCCCACTCCCCATCCCCCCACTCCTCCTAAAGCTGGAAGCAGCTTGTCCCTTTCCTGCCTGCACGTCAAAAGGCAGATAACACCTCCAGGCTGCTGCTGGCCACCAACATAACCCAGCTGCCTCCTGTCCCCAGGCTACAGAGCGGGCAAGAAGAGGTTAAGCCCTAAGGTTGCATTGTGCATCAGAGCCCAGGGAACCTGACTGCAGAGGCTTCAGTGAACCCAGCCAGAGAGGTGGCTCAGCAGGGGAGGGTGCCTAGGGGACAGAGCATCCCTTTGCTCCCTGGGGGCAGGACCCGAGGCGGGTGTGTGTGCAGGTGAACAGGGTGCTTAGCCCCTGTTTGGGAACTGCTGTGGAGCCTGCAGGTTCGGGGCGGGAACAGGCTTGAAATCACTTCCCTCCCGCCACTCCAGAGCTTAGCTGAGGGGCGGAGCGGCTTCCCTGTGCCAGTGCTGGGCGGGGCTTTGGCTCATGCAGGGCTCGGCTCCTCCTGGCCAGCTCCCCGGGCTTTCCCGGGGTGCTGGCCCAGCCAGAGGCAGTGGGGGAAGGAAGGACCAGAGACTGGTCTCCGCACAGCGCTGGGTGAGGGATGTGCCCCGCTGAGGGGGAGGGATATGGAGGAGCAGCAGGGATGGTGTGGGGGGGGCATGAAGGGGCAAAGCAGAGACAGGATAGCGATAGGGGGAACACGTAAAGGGCCGATGGGCAGGTAGGTGAGGCAACACGTAACCGGCTGTCGCCTGGTGCCGGCCCGCACTCACCAGCCACCGCAGCTCAACTCGTGCAGCCAGTACTGGCCGGAAACGGGACAGGGGATGGGGCCCTGCTGGCCGGCACGCAGCGGTAATGGACCAGCAGGGTGAGTGGCTGGCCCCATGTGTTGCAGCTTTCCCAGCCACCAGCCTTGCACACCCATCCCCATCGTCAGCCACTGGACCCCCCAGACTCACTGCTGGTGGGTGGGCAGCTGCCGAGCAGGGATCCGACCAGCAGCAGGACCCACCAGTACTGATGGGGGGAGACAGAAAATATAGGACAATTTGCCTGTTTTTTAAAAAAAGTTGGTACACCTGAGGGAGGGCTTAAATATGGGACTGTCCCTTTAAAAAAGGGACTCTGGTCACCCTAATTATTAATATTGGGAACGTGCCAAGGTAAATGTTTCCTCCTTCCTCTCCAAATGCTGGGATGATTTCCCCATACCTGAAAGGGAAGGGGAAAAATATTCTTTAAACTCCAGAAAGTCAGACGTTAAAACAAAGAGAACCTTGTGGACTTGCCCATTCTGTGTCCTTCATTAGCCAGACATATGGCTCTGGCGGCCCAGCTTCTCCAGACTGGTAGAGCTGCGCTCAGCACAAGTCTAGGTGAGAGAGGGGCAATGGCTCTTAATCCATTATTCCTTCCCTTTATCCCTGTTTACGGGGTACCGTCCCAATCTCCGTTACATACAGGTTACTCTATTTAGCCCCAGCTGCCAATGACACACAGAGGCTGTTCTAGTAGGGCACAGGAGTGCATTGCCCTCACTCTGCTGCATTGTCCTCACCCTGCTGGTCCATCAATTCTGAAGCACTTAGAGGAGAGGAAAGTGATCAGGAACAGTCAGCATGGATTCACCAAGGGCAAGTCATGCCTGACTAATCTAATTGCCTTCTATGACGAGATAACTGGTTCTGTGGATGAAGGGAAAGCAGTGGACGTGTAGTTCCTTGACTTTAGCAAAGCTTTTGACACGGTCTCCCACAGTATTCTTGCCAGCAAGTTAAAGAAGT